CCATTAAAAATGAAGATACAGATATGAAGGACCCTACCAACAGTTATTTTTGCTGCATCCCTCTTAATAATGACCGCTGATATTGCTGATATTAGGAAAGAGTTACCAACACGTTTGTAGTCTTTTGACTGAAGTCTGTGATGGAAATACCAGCAAAGATTTCCTAGAGGTTCAAGCAGAGAGAAGTCTACCGTAGGAGGGTGCTGCCAATCACACTGGAAAAAAGCAAAAGACCAGCAGTTACAGGGTTTGCAGCCTGAAGATGCAGAAGTCAGCAAGGCAGAGCATTAGTTCTTTGTTTTTTAAAAAGAGCATTTGCTCAATCAGAAAAAAGAGTCCTTGAGGGGACTGGGTAGATAGGGAATCAAGGCAAAGCTGAGATGAGGGCAGGCTCATGCTTGCCTCTCAAAGACAGAGGACAACACCATGGTTTTCTGAGTCTGCAGTGTGCCAGGCAAGAAATAGAATTCACATGAAAAGATAAGAAAGAGCCTGCCCTTTTCTCTTCTCCTGAGATAACCCTAACCTCATTATGTATGTCCAGAATGAATCTAAATTCATTTAAATCTGCTCAGACACCAGATTGTTCAATACAATTGCTTTCCCACAGTCAAGCTGGGGCATCAATTTCTTTTCTGAATATATACAGCCTATCTTGAAATCACAAAATCTTAGAATTAAAAGGTATCTTAAAGGAATAAAGCTCCAACTTCTGAACTAATGTAACTTCTGTGTTTTCCTGCGATGAGCCACAGATTCTAACAATTTCTAGGAATTCTTCAAATATTACCTTTAAAATAAAGCTACTGGTAGCATCAGGAGAATACACGTAGACGGTAGGCACACAGGCAGGCTTTGAAATGACTCTGATCATTACCGACTTGTCTTCAGTATCCCTAACATGCCCAACTTGAAAAACATTTAGTAAGATCATTAAATTCACATTCTGGCTTCTCTAAAATAAAACTGGATGTATTATACCAAATACATGAGCTAGAGTATAGGAAGGATAACACTCCAGAAAGTAAGAAGGTCACATGGCGACTCACTGTCTTGGAAATACCGCCAAAGGGTACAGGAGCTATGTCCTGGAGGAGCCAAAATTGCCACCTGAAGTGTAGAAGGTTCAGCAAGACCAGGGAGGAGCAGGCAGTCACCCAGAAATACTGATGTGAAACTCACATGGACATTCTGGAAAGGCAATGCGGGGATCAAATATTAGGCTCCCACAGAACAGTAAAGATGGCTCACACTTCCTCAGGAGTCCATATGGTACCTCTAAAAAGAGAGACTAAGTTCAGGAAGGTGAGAGAGAACTAGGGGTCACCCACACCTAAGTACTTTTTCTGAATAAAGTGGAGGACACACATGATGGAGCTCTCAGAACCCTGGACCCAAATCAAAAGCTTTTCAATGGAGCCCACCAGAGAAACAAGACCTGATTCGAGAATAGACGAGAAAACGCCAAACCTTATCTTGCCAGAACACAAGGTAGTGAGGGAGGAGGCTACTGATGATAGACAACTGAGTTGGAAAGGAAGACTGTCTTTTGGGGATTTTAGTTATCCTTTAAACAAAAAAGACGTATTTCTTCCTCTAGATGGGCTGTGGATCTAAGACATAATGAAGGTTTCCTGAAAGCTGACGGACATCTGAATGAAGGAGCCTTTAAGGGTGAGCAAACCGAACACAGCTGCTCATGTGGTAGAGGCTGTTTCTAGCAGGCAGGTGGATATGCTCGAAAGCAGCAGGCAAGCTGCAAATTGGTATTCTTTTTTCCCTCCTGCCTTATCTGGTCTCCCAATGAGTGCCTACCGCATCGCTCCCTGAACTCCTGTGAGATGCTCTGAGAAAGGTTGGCAGATTGCACCCCTTTGCTGAGGAAGCAGGGGCTGCAGTACTCTGAAAAAGCTCGAGAAAGCTCATCAACTTCTAGGCAGGCAGCGGTGCTGACCTGAGAAACCAGACAAGTTTAACAGGCTGTCCTTTCGCCAAAGCTTATAACGTCTCCCTACAAGGATTAATGGCCAAGCAGCACACTGGAAAACAAAGTCAATGGAAGAGCACTCTGTACCAGTGCTGATAGCACCAGTGATATCCAGAGATAAACTGGAAAACTAGGGCCAGGGTCAAAGAAATCTGTCAGAATTGCTACTCTGGTGGAGAGGGACTATCAGAATGCTGGCCTTGCTACATTCTCTTCGCCTATCTACTATTTAACTAAAGAGTTTCAGAATGAATGACTGATATGAATGCAGCAGATGTTATGAATTTGGCCTTTGTCAAAGCATTAGATGCAGTACCTTTAGAAATTTTACTTGGGAAATTAATTCAAAGTGGATTGGTTCATACACAATCACTGAAGATTAAATAGTGGCTGAAGGATGATAAACAAAAGACAGTTAAGTGACAGCCTACAGTGAGAGACTTGGGGTCAACACCAAAGCCATTCTTGTTTAGGGGTTCTATTCAGGGCCCAGTAAAGAAGTAAACAACTCGCTAATGAGATCTGCAGAGGATGCAAAGCTGGGAGGTAGAGAAACCATATCGACAGGAGCATAAAATCACAAAGCAGAGTTCAACTGGAAAAAAATACAGCTAATCTTCCTAGGGGAAAACAACCCTACACTCAGCTAATATTCAAGAGACGGGCAGCATAAGAGGCCAAAGAAGGATGTAAAAGAGCTCTGACATGCGGTGAGGTGACAGAAGCCAGTAAGAAAGCAAAGGGGCCATGGGAGTGTGCCATGGGGGAACATAGTGCTGTGCACAAAGGCAAACTCAAACATTACTAGTGTCAGAGCCAGGTGGTCTTGAAAAGAGGTCAACTCCATTTTCAAAAGAGTGGTACATTCTGCATAGAAAATCTTTCTTAATGGCTACAAAGCCACCATTCGTATCCAGCAGGTGTTCTGATCTTTTTCGCATCTGACTTCACCTCCCCGGGGGTTAGCATCTTAAGGATAGCACTGGGCCACCATCCTGGGCTCGCTGACAATGCTGTTCTGAATGAAACCCACTCACAGTTTATGACAGATATTTCCCCCATTCTTTACGAAGCCTGTGTTACCTTATGGCAATACCTCACAGGCTTAGGAAAGTGGTTAATTTCTCTCCATTTACTCAACCTGCAACAGTGCAATGACCCCCGAAGCCAATTTTTCCACCATCAGCCTGAAAGCAATGGTTCAACACAATTATCTCTGGGCAATTCAATGCTTTAGCAAGTAATCATCTTGTTACATTACTTCAGCACAAATTGAGCACCAAAGAGGATACTTTCTTCTTAAAAACTAAAACTTAAAAAAATGTCACTATCTATGCATACTCATTAAACATTATAGCATAACATGGTTACTTCTAACAGCATAATAAGAGAGCTTATACTGGCCTCACTTTCCAGAGCAGCCTTGCAAACTATTTCCACACTTACCTGCCTGTCAGAATTAAATATTCACTAGTGGCAGTTTGAACCCAGTGTGGAAAACATAAGTATATATCCCATCGTATTGCTAAGTGCTCCACTCTAAAAATGTTTAATCTATTCTTCAAGTTGCCATCACATTGGGCTGAATATGCCCACCATGGACCCACCCTGAATCCCACCTGTAGTTTAGTGATTATCCATTTCCTAGAGGAGCTAGATGATCAAACAGTACCAAGAAATGTGAAGCCACATTCCTCATCACAGGTTATTTAAGCCTACCCAGCTTAGAGAAAATATAGGTAGGGAGAAAAGAAAGTAAGAGAGGAGGTTTATGAGAAACACCAATTATTGACTGTTTATCATGTTATTTTTTCCAAAGGTCACTAATGAGCCTTAAAAAGTCAAAGATATGGGTATTTTCATTGGACTCTTTGTACTTAAGAATCAAGTCCTAGACAGGGTCTATTGGGAAACACAGGAAAGAATCTAAAACCCATAGCAGCCTGACAGACTGATTTCTCAGCTGACATTCTGTGTGACATTCTATAGATGCTCTATCCATCAGGATGTGACATCATGTTAGAGGTAAATGTCACATATCAGGGCAATGTTCTGGGCCAAAGAGCAAGAGAAGTGATCTCAATGACAAAGTCTGAAGCTGAGATTGGATAACATGTGCCCAAACTCACTCCTCTCCTAACAGTAGAGAATAACCTGATAATCATCCAACTCCTAGAACTAAACAGGTCCTAGAAGCTACTGAAAAACTGCTAAGTGAGGCCAGTTCCCATGATCACGTTTAAGAAATGGATATATTTTGGTTGAGTCCAGGCAGTTTGCTGAGCTATCCAAGTCAGTCAGCAATAAGTGGCTCTCTTCTTGCTCTGTTTCCCAGTCAGTCCAGAAATCACTCAACTACCATACCACTCAGCGATAAAAGTCTTCCTGAGTAAGAGCCCTGAAGAATGTCAGTGGCAAGAAATACTACTGAGCGGTATGCATATCCTTGGGGCAATCAGTCACAGGGATGAAGGACAAAAGTAAAATGTCACAGGGCTTCTCAAATGCTCTCCTGCCAGCCTCAAAAGTGTTTGAAACCAAAACTCATTTCCTATGAAATGTTTTCATTTCCTTTGTACATGACAAAAGGTCTAGAGGTGTTGAATGGGAGGGGCTGGGAACAGAAGCCTCCAGAGGTAAGAAACAGGGGCAATGGCACTGTTCTCCTCGGAGGGCTTCGCAGTCTCAGGAATAAGATAAAGATATCTTATAAAGGGCTCATCCATGCTTTCTTCTTGAAAACTAAAGAAGCCACATAGGGAAAACATATCTAATATATACCTATTTTACATATTTTGAAAAAATGGAAGCCCAAGTATATGTAACCAAAGTTAGACTGCAAGCTCAAAGTGTGTCTTTCTCTTCAGGGGGAAAATCTGGAATAATAAAAGAATACAAGCTTTCTCAGGTATACCAAAAATGTACTCCAACACATTCTGCTCAGGTATACACACGATAGTGGAAAAGAAGAAAAAGTGGAGCCGTGGGTCCCAGTGTGTTTTTTTCATCTCACCTGGCCTCTGCAGCAAGCAGTTCATCATAGTGTGAGGATCTCTGGTCATCATCCTGCCGGTATCTGATCACTGTGGCTAGACCCTTGCTGACAAGAGCCTCAGCGATGTTTCTGCAAAAGAAAAGATAGGTCAGTGAGCACTAGAAGTGCATATGGGGCTCAGTCAACAGAAATAATAAGTTAGCACCTGGAGGTCTTTACACATTCTGGCAGAGGGAGGGAGAAGGCAAAGTTTCAAGACCAATGAGTTGCTAAGCTAGAAATCCAAATAAAAGGTCAAATAACAAAGTTTCCTAGCTCAGCATTTTTCTCGTTAGTACAGTCAGATGCTATATCAATCCATATATTAAAACTAGCAGAAAATATCTGTAAAAAGCCCACATTAGGCCAGGCTATTTACAGATTGTTATAAACAAGTCACTACCCTCAAGAAAAGTCTGCTCTAAAATATTAGGCACACAGATAAAAAACTGAACACATAAAAGCATGACCTAAATTTCTCAAAATCTCCGTTTTAGCCTATATAACAACTAGAAAATTTCTTGTTTTAGTTTAGCAATGTTAGAAGCATTAGTTTACCAGAACAGTCAAAGTGTTTTTCTTCTCATAACTCCGGAGCATGGATCTTCCACCTAAAGGGGGCTTGGAGAAGCTAGGAACCATGAATGAATTGGAGAGAAGAGGGCAGGTGGGAGGGAAGCATTCTAGTAAAAAGGAAATTCTTCATGAAAAATGAATTGAGAGGGGCAACAAAGAAAGTTACAAGTTTAAAATCTGAGATGACCAGTTTTGGAACAATATTCCAAGGGGCCTACAGAAGACATCAGGTTAGAATCTAACAAAAAACAATTCTCAAGTGCATATACTCTTCTTTTTATTCACCAGAATAAGAAAATTGCTTCCACTTGGGAATGAGAAGTGCTGCTCTAAGTGGCCTGTATCTATTAGCTAGAGAAGAATGCCTGAGAAATAACACTACGACACCCAATGAGACACACTTGCATGGTTCCTTCCCAGTCTGGAAAGGGAACTTAGTTATGAACAATCAAACTGCAAAAACAGATTTTCAAAAATTAAGTATAATTAATTGTAGCAAATACTGAAAAGCAAGAGGCATGATATTATTACGGGAGAGTGGTGGTTATGTCTTTCTTTGTGTCTGTCATAATTACACCAAAGGCCCCACTCAAACCATCTGGCTCGCTACCCTTTGGGGAGAGGGTATGGTGAGCACTAGGCTACTGTGCCATATGCTATGATTTAGTATTGTTTGAAAATGTAGCTCACTCTTAACACACGAGTGGTTCTTAGAAAGTCATACTGTGGGGCTGCTGAGAGATGAACTAACCATGGTCTGAGCATGTTTAAGCCATTTAGGGTTCTATTCATCAAAACCCAGGAGAGCATACTTTTTAAAAAGAAGAAAACACGTGCTGGTAGAGAAAGGAAGAAAAGATGCTGAGAGTGATTATCTTCTCATTATATGCCCCTCTATTGCTTGTTTATCTACTGCCAGCACGATATTAATATCTCCAAACTGCCACGGAATTAGCACTTCTCAAAATCCACTCCCACAAAGAGGCTGCTTTGCTGGCCATCCTGTCTCCTGAGTCACCACAGAAGTGTGCTGGCAAATGCTGTCATCTTCCGAGAACTGGGTTTGGCAGCATGGAGAAGGCAACGGCCCCAAATCAGCAGATGTAGATGTTGATACATGGTGAGGATTTAACTAAGGTTGTCACCAGGAGCCTTAACAGGGAAAGAGAGAGGCTCCACCTAACAGAGAAAGCCGGGGAGTGGCATGGGTGACAACTCCACTTTTGACAGTTTGAGATATCCTGGGCAGTTTTAAATGCCAAGGGGACAAAGAATTATTTGTGACTGCATTTTGAATTACTGAGCATTGACATTTTGCAGTCAATACATGGAGTCTGAAGGAGAAAGTGGGAACAGCAGAGTAGGTAAGGAAAAATTCACATGAAAAGTTTCTCTAGAAAAAGCTAGAGAATACTAAGCAAACCAACACAAATGTTTAAGGATCCACTCCTGTTAATGTTGTTCAAATCAATTCATAGAATTACTGAGTGCCTGCCTATCCAGGAAAGATACGAGGCCACAAATCTTTCCCTGCTCTTCCAAGCCCTGCCCTCTTTATCCCATCAGCAAATGTCTACAAACCAGTTAAGACCGGCCATATGGAGCTGCTGAGGCCTGAGAGTCCCAGATCCTCCACACTCTGCCCACTACTTTCCTCTCCCTTTCCTTTAAAGTTTAGCATCTAAGCCATGTTCTCTCAGCTTCTTATCCCTAATTATAGATTTCTCCTGGAGGAACAGTTGTGGTGCTGGTACTCAGCAGTAGGGAGAGTAAAAATACACGAAATAATAATAACTGTCGTTACTGGGCATTTACTACATGCCAGGCATGTGAGAATCACATGTATTGCCTTCTTGGTGCATCCCCATGGGACATACCATCACACAATGTGGCAGTTATTCACTTACTGTCTTTCTTGGTAAGTGATGAACTCTGGGAGGCCAGAGACCACACTTTTCCTGCTCTGTACCCCAGTACTGAGCACAATGCTTGGCATAAGGTAGACTGCAAATGATTTTCTGAATGAGATTATTTAGCTCATCTAGAATACTAAAAAATAATTTTCTAAAAATGTAGCACAACCGAAACACAATCTTTCCTTTTTGTTTTAAAACATCCTGAAAAATCTGAAGTGCTCCTTAAAGTATAAGAAAAACACCTGACCATTTTGGAAACATAGCAGTGGAACATTATTTTCCTAGCCTAGTTTGCCCAGATAGAGTCAAGGACAGTCACTTTCTACATGCCTTCCCAGCTTTTGTCTTTCTCCTCCCAATTATCTGATACTTCAATTTATTTTAAAAATTTTTTTTATCAATATTTTTTATTTTGATATTGTGGGGTATAGTTAAGGGTTAGGTATACAAATATGCTTCATTCCGGCCCCCTTGGTGATAACAGGTGTCTCCCCGTCCCCAGACAGATGTTTACTACCATTAGTCCCACCCCCTTCCCCTCCTCCCATTGTTTCTCCCACCACTGTCAGTCATTTTCTTATGGTAGTGCATTGGATGATCAAGGTCCACTATATGAGTGAGAATATATGGTACTCAGATCTTTGTTTCTGTGAGAGGTCACTTAGTATTATAGACTCTAGTTCCATCCAGGTTGCTGCGAAATTCATGATTTTGTTCTTTTTTATGGCTGCGTAGTATTCCATCATGTATATGTACCACATTTTTTAAATCCAGTCCTCTTGATACTTCAATTTAAAAAAATAAATGAAAGGGATAGAAGGAGAGTGCAACAGATCCATGTACTTGACTGTCTCATTCATCTTTTTTGGCTGCTAATGAAAGGTCGGGAGATTTTCCCCAGGCTAAAGATGGCTCAGAACCCGACATTCGTGTGTTGAGCAGTTGTCCAATAAGAAAAGAGAACATTAAATTGTGTGCTATGATATTATGTTGCTTTAGACAAATCTGTAAGTTCTGTTTTCTTGGGTGTATCAGTAATTTTACTCCAATTACACATCTGGCCTAAATGGATAATTCACAATCAGCATATAAAAAGGGACCTGACCATCTTGGAAGTTTAGCAGTCATCTCTTTTTGTATCAGCTAGAAATACGAAGAGAATTAGTCCTGGGATTGAAATCCTTCTCCAAACTAAAAGAGAAATATAGGGTTCTATTAAAAGTGAACAATTTCCACTAGGCATGATCAGGTGTTACTGATATAAAAAAAAAAACAAGCAACAAGGCTTGCTCAGAAGATCTACAAGTGTAGTTGACATCTTCCCTTCCCACTTCTTTCCACAGCAAGCAGGCTGTAATCAGCTCATACTTCCCCATTATAACATGTGGGGTCCTATATTATGACAACACAGAGAAAAGGTGTCCAATACACATACAAGAGAACAGAAATCCTAAGGAATAAAGTCTCAGTGACAGTAGACTCTAGTTGTTGGCTCAAATTTTTGTCTGCTTTCCCCACCTCTACCAATATTGGAAGTAACAAACAATATATTGATAGGTCAGATAATTGTCTAAAAGTGTTAAAATTACTTTAAAATGTGCATTTGTGCATGTGTAATTCTGAAACCATCTAAACGTACAGAAAAGTTGCACATGCTGGACAACTTTAAACCCTCTTCTTTAAACCACTAGAGAGGAACTACCTGTTGGACGCACCTCAAATAATTTATTGTGCAATTCCTAAAAATGAGCACAATTTTCTACATACTCAAAAATGAGGAGAATCAGATATATTACTACCATCGAATTCACAAACCTACTCACAAGTGTTCCTAAGAAATACTTAGAGAAAAAGGATCTACTTCAGAATACAGTACAGCATTTGGTGGTCATGTCTCTTTAGTTTGGAACAGTTCTCTTAAGTCTGTCTTTACTACCATGGCCTTGACAATTTTGAAGAGTACAGTTCAGTTATTTTTGCTTGTCTGCTGCTTCTTCATCATATTAAAAGTTATACTCTGATGCATAATTTATTGATGATGCTAATCTTGATCATTTGATTTGGGGAGTGTACAAGTTTCTCTGCTATAAAGTTACTCTTTTCCTCTTTTAATAAATAGGTATTTTGGGGGGAGACATTTTGAACTATATAATCTTATCCCTCATCAAACTCCTGAGTTATTAATTTACTTATCTGTATTAGTATGAATTCATAGAATCTCATTTTGTCCAAACAGTTATAATTCACCCTGCTGTTCTTTACTTTGATGCTCAAATTGTTCCCAGTTTGGCCACTGGGAACTGAGACAATCTGGCTTCTGTGTCCTTTGGACAAGTCTCCCATCCTCTTTGAGAACTTCTCTGCTTTCTGGCACAGCAATATGTTCCAGGCTTATCTTGAGTTGTCTTCCCCAACTCTGGAGTTAGCCACTTACTTATATTTATTTCTACATCTATTGAAAACCAAGTGTGGCAGTCATGAAAATGCACCTCTTGGATCGACAACTGCAGGAAGCATAATTGACTGACAGTTCAGTTCCTGTGCTTTGAAACCCATCACTGCTTTTTCAGCCAAGACTATGTTTCCCAACAGCTATTC